TTATAATTATGGGCTTAGACACCTAATTAAACAGTTATTCATATGTGGTTCACTTGTAATTTACATGTGAATCACATGTAACTCATATGTGATTCACTTATGATTTACATGTGAATCACATATGCTTCATATGTGAATTACATGTGAATCACATTTAATTCATATGAATTACAAGTTAACTACATGTGAACCACATGTAATTCATATTGAATTACATGTAATTTATAGGTTAAACACATGTACTTCATATGTGTTTCAATTGTGATTTACATGTGAATCACATATAATTCATATGTGATTTACATGTGAACCACATATGAATTATTACAAATCCACGTGACTAATCAAAATGTATAAGTGAATATAAGCATGCATCACATTTCCTGCCAATGAGAAAAGTTATTAGACTTATCCAAGTGGGAGACTGTTGGATAAGGTGTCTAAGTCCATAACTATTTCTGGTATGTACTTGACCCGACCCGGCATGGTCCATTTGGGTTGCATGGCATCATGCAATTGGATAGACTAAATGTGAGAAATAACACTTGGAGATTATTAATATATTATAAGTTCTAATATATTAATAATATTATTTGATTAGTTTGATCAAGAATTAATTTAGAATTAATTATGTGATCAAAAGATAACTAATTGAATCATCCATATCTTGTATAGTGGGCTAAAAGGCTCCATGGACTATCAAGTTGGGTTCCACCCATAGGATGCTCCATGGATGCTCCATGGGAGTTACAAACCCATGGGTCATGGAAATGAAGAGTCATGACACATTAGGGTGTAACCCTAGATGTGTCAACACTATATAAGAAACATGTTCTCCACCTAAAATCAGCTACACTAAGAAACAAGAGGGCTTGGCCGATTTTTGAGAAGTGTGTGTTCTCTCATAAGTTCTTCCAAGAGCATTTGGTGTTGTGTGAAGCATTTGAGGCATCACACTTGGGGTGCTAGGCTCACAAGGTTTCAAGGAACACAAACAACAACAAGGTAAGTTATACTATCTATACTTTAAGTTAAAATTGTTCCCCATGTATGCTAGATAGGAATATAACCTTGGAATTCAACTTTGCATGATAATTAGACAAACATAGATCCAAGGTTATTAGGGTTGCATGTACACTTAGGAAGTGTTAGAATGCTCAAAACCCATCTCATTCTGGGGGTATGCCTTAGAGACTGCTGCCCATATCCTTAATCTAGTCCCTACAAAGAAAGTTGCCAAAACTCCTCACGAGATGTGGACTGGTAAAGTACCTAAACTTGACCACATCAAAATTTGGGGTTGCGAGGCTTTCGTGAGATGCGAGACTCATGATAAGCTCGAACCCCGAAGCGAGAGGTGTATTTTCATCGGCTACCCACAGCAATCCTTTGGTTACCTCTTCTACAGACCTAGTGACAATGTGGTCTTTGTAGCAAGAAGAGGAGTCTTTCGAGAAAAAGAGTTTATAAGCCAAGGAGACAGTGGGAGGCAAATTGATCTTGAAGAAATTCAAGAGTCAAGTGGTGATGGAACTTCAAACTCTAGCCCTCAACTTGAGGAGGAAACTCCTGTTGAGCCAATTGACGAATCTGTACCTCTGAGGCGTTCCACGAGAGTTAGGAGTGCACCTGAGCATTACTATGGATTCCATATTACTGCAGAAGGTGAGACACTTATTAGTGATGGGACACTAGTAAGTCAAGATGACCCTAACAGCTACGAGGAAGCCATGGCAGGCCCCGAGTCTGCTAAATGGAAAGAGGCTATGGATAGCGAGATACAATCCATGTATGACAATCAAGTTTGGAACTTGGTTGAGAATGTACCAGGTCGAAAGACTGTAGGGTGCAAATGGGTCTTCAAGAAGAAGACCGACATGGATGGTAAAGTACACACTTATAAGGCTAGACTGGTTGCAAAGGGCTTCTCTCAAATTCCTGGAGTGGATTATGATGAGACCTTTTCTCCGGTAGCCAAGATTAAGTCTATTCGGGTTCTGTTAGCCATAGCCGCATTTCATGACTATGAAATTTGGGAAATGGATGTCAAAACCGCTTTCCTTAATGGAAAGTTGGCTGAAGATGTTTACATGAGTCAGCCAGAGGGTTTTGTCAGCAACGAGTACCCTAATAGAGTGTGTAAGCTTGAGAAGTCCATTTATGGATTAAAGCAAGCACCTCGCAGATGGAATCTTTGCTTTGATGAAAAGGTCAAGGAATTTGGTTTTTCTAGGAGTGAAGATGAATCTTGTGTGTATGTCAAGGGTAGTGGGAGTATAGTTAGCTTTTTGGTATTGTATGTAGATGACATACTACTCATAGGAAACGACATTCCAACCCTGCAGGAAGTAAAGTCCTGGCTTGGAAAGTGTTTCGCTATGAAGGACCTTGGTGAAGCTGCCTATATTTTAGGGATAAGGATCTTGAGAGATCGGAGTAAAAGACTAATTGGACTTAGTCAAAGTACCTACTTGGATAAGGTGCTGAACAGATTCAGAATGCAAGACTCCAAGAAAGGAGAGTTGCCCATCCAGAGTAACGCCAAACTGAGTAAGACACAAAGCCCTAGCACTGAGGCTGAGATAGCACAAATGAGTCGAGTACCTTATGTTTCGGCTGTAGGATCGATCATGTATGCTATGACGTGTACTCGACCTGATGTAGCTTTTGCCCTGAGCATGGTTAGCAGGTTTTAGGGGAACCCTGGCAAGGCACACTGGACTGCGGTAAAGAATATTCTCAAGTACCTACGAAGGACTAAGGACTGGGTCCTTACCCTCGGTGGGAGTGATGAGTTGAGAGTTGTAGGGTATAGTGATGCTAGCTTCCAGACTGATAGGGATAACTTCCGCTCTCAGTCGGGCTGGGTCTTTACCCTAAATGGAGGAGCAATTTCTTGGAAGAGTTCCAAGCAAGAGAGAGTGGCAGATTCTACTTGTGAATCAGAGTATATTGCAGCTAGCGAGGCGGCAAAGGAGGCGTTATGGCTGAGGAACTTCATTGGAGACCTTGGAGTTGTACCAGCTATTAAAGAGCCAATGGAAATTTTCTGTGATAGTGAAAGTGTTGTTGCCTTAGCCAAGAAACCAAGGGATCACGGGAGATCCAGACACATCGACAGAAAATACCATTTCATCAGACATCGGATCAAAGAATGACTCCTCGTGGCAAAGAGCGTATCATCAGATGAGAATCCGGAAGATCCCCTCACGAAGGGACTTACTCGGGTTAAGCATCTCCAGCATGCTCGGAGCATAGGGCTGAAGGATGATATTAGATTTAGTAGTTAGATAACCTCGAAATTTGTAAAGTGTAATTGACATCTGATGATGAATAAAAGTGTTTTATTTATGAGTAAAGTGTTGCTATCTCTTGTCGATCGTTTACTATATTTCTTTTGCATGTTTTGACTTCCAGAATAATTTTGTTTGGTATAACATATTATTCAAACCTCCACAGTCGGTCATATGTCGGAAGTAGATATGAATCAAGACTGTCATGTTTGGTTGTAGAGGTCTTGGACAAGGCTACAGCAATCATGAGTGCTCAAAAGTTCTGAGCATTGGACTCAACCCACACTCACTGGAATCACTTCATGGAATTCTATCTCGAGTGATCGTGAGACGGTAATATCATATAAGTCTTTAAACCTAGAGATATGATTTGTTACTTACAAGTTGGTTATGCATTGATTGTACGAAAAATGCATTGGTAACTCGATGTTATAAATCGCGCTCTTGTCTGTAATTCAATGAGTAGTAGAACAAACATATGAGTCGAAGTTTATCTGTTCCTTCTTGGATTAGAAGCTGATATCTGGGCCCCTTGACGATTTTGTTTTGACCTATGTACCGGGCCCGGTCAGAACTAAATTGATGTGTTCAATGAAGTTCTTTGTCAAAAAATCGGAAATCGGGAAACAAACTGTTGGACAATAAGTAAGACATTGTTCCGTGTATTTGTCCGACTGATATCTAGAACAGAGGATTATATGATCACTTATCTTAAATGGCGTACCATCATCTTCAGTTTTGAGAAACCTTGTAAAGAGCTACGATTGCCAATCGGTTCCTGAAGTCATACTTGCAGTAATAGTTATTAGACTTATCCAAGTGGGAGACTGTTGGATAAGGTGTCTAAGTGCATAACTATTTCTGGTATGTACTTGACCCGACCCGGCATGGTCCATTTGGGTTGCATGGCATCATGCAATTGGATAGACTAAATGAGAGAAATAACACTTGGAGATTATTAATATATTATAAGTTCTAATATATTAATAATATTATTTGATTAGTTTGATCAAGAATTAATTTAGAATTAATTATGTGATCAAAAGATAACTAATTGAATCATCCATATCTTGTATAGTGGGCTAAAAGGCTCCATGGACTATCAAGTTGGGTTCCACCCATAGGATGCTCCATGGGAGTTACAAACCCATGGGTCATGGAAATGAAGAGTCATGACACATTAGGGTGTAACCCTAGATGTGTCAACACTATATAAGAAACATGTTCTCCACCTAAAATCGGCTACACTAAGAAACAAGAGGGCTTGGCTGATTTTTGAGAAGTGTGTGTTCTCTCATAAGTTCTTCCAAGAGCATTTGGTGTTGTGTGAAGCATTTGAGGCATCACACTTGGGGTGCTAGGCTCACAAGGTTTCAAGGAACACAAACAACAACAAGGTAAGTTATTCTATCTATACTTGAAGTTAAAATTGTTCCCCATGTATGCTAGATAGGAATAAAACCTTGGAATTCAACTTTGCATGATAATTAGACAAACATAGATCCAAGGTTATTAGGGTTGCATGTACACTTAGGAAGTGTTAGAATGCTCAAAACCCATCAATTACAATGAAGAAACAAGCAATATGTCCAAGACATGTTGCAGTCTGAGTGAAGCTCCTATAAGTGCCTCACACATGGCCGGTGAAACCAAACTTTTGATAATAAAAGGTAAATAAAAAGACACCTAAATTTTTTTTATTAACCTTCATACCTCTACAATATACAAAGCTGCAATGGGAAGGAAATCACCCATTTTTGTTCCCACAAGAAGCCTTCCAAAAGGCATACCTCCAAGTCCATCTGTTGTGGCACTATAAGTCATAGTTTTGATACTATTAGGAATGCCAACATTATAAAATTATATTAATAGCACTGATTATCATTAGTATGGAAAAATTTTCGAATGACTTTTGAGGTCCAATCCCATTAGCAATACATCCACTACCTACATAATTAAAGTGCTATCTTGGTATGATTCATCACTTAAGGAGTCAAGCTCTGATATAGGTTTGTCAAATGCTTGTGTCGCAAGCTGGCAAGCTCTAACAACACCAGCATTTGATAAAACAACATTTTAGTTTTTTTGTTTTGTTTAAAAAATTATAAACAACTTTATTGAAAATCCAACATTACCTTACGGGAGAATCCATAATCTCATAATAGAAACCATAAAAGTTCAAAGGCAAACCCAATAGGATTGGATGAGTAGGAGATAAATCCTCTACAATAGTAGATGACAACTGGGGGTAAATAAGTCAATATATCATTTATCAAAAAATTTAAAACTTATGAAGAATTTTATAAATAAAAATAAAATTACTTGATAAGCCTCCAACAATTTAACTGATTAGGTGCCTCTTTTTTATCATTACCATACTTGAACTCTACAAGATACCTATAGTAGTCTCCTTTCCTGTATACCATAATAAAATCCCATAAATAAAGTCACATCAAGAATGATGTTTTGGACTCTTTGTCTTAATTGTTATATATACAATGTAATATACTTACATTTTGTAGTAAAAAATAATGGATTGTCCAACAGATGAAGATGGAATCAGATGCTTATCAATCACAGTCATGATATCACCATAAACGTTGGAAAGCTCTGTTTCCACCTCCTATTTGTATTCCTTAATCCTTTTAACATTCACTTTATTGCCTTTGGATTCCCTTTTTTCCTCAATTGAAGATAAAATCCTCCATGATTCCCTTTTTATCCCACCAAAAATATTCTTGTATCCAACTGAGAACATATTCCTCTCGTCAATAGTCAATGCGATATGCAACTTTGCTACCTTCTTCATCGTGTCCATCATTTCTAAAACAAAATCAATGTAAATAAATAGTTAAAATCAACCAAAATTATCCTCCTAACCTCAATTTTTACCTTCCTTACCAATAGTTATGTTTCTAAAACAATCAACATTTGATATGTTAAGGACATCAGAGCTTTTATTTCTTTCAACAAACAGCCTCAAGTTTTATAATTTGGTACTTTTTACTTAGATTAACATAGGTATCAATACTTTCATATAAAGTTTCAAAAATGAATATCGATCTGAATATGTCTAGGAACAATAAAGTCAAAATTTTAACTTGTGTTTAAGATCCATTTTGTAACCCTAATTTACATCTCAAAGTAAATAGCATCGATAACATAGGTGTCTATGTGTGGAACTTAGACAGTTGGAACAAATATACATCTACCAAAGATTATATTTTCGACTTTGAAAATAAAGTAAGGAAATCAAAAATTAAACCTTAGGGATCAGAGCAATCATCCTATCTTCCTGTCTTGCTATAGCTTCTAATTTGGTGGTAGCATTGCGATGGTGGGGTTGAGATGGTTGATGGTTTGCGCAATTTATCTCTATCGTCGTTTTCCTCCATTGAGGAAACGATGACAGAATAGGAGGAACCGCTCATCAATCGATGATCCACGGCCATCAAAACCGAATCAATTATAGATATAGATCTAAAACATAGTGATGACGACGTATGTATGTGTGTTTAGTGAGAGAATTAGATCTGATGAGGAATCGTGATGAGGTGATGTGTATGAAGTCAATTTCCATAACCCTAAAATTCCCTTAATGCCATTTAATTTTAACGCCCCAATCAGTTGTTTTTTCAATCTATTTACAAAAAATGTGATGTTTAATCATAGCCTTCATTTTTTTTATCTAACCCTCCACTGTTAGTTTACAGGTTCTTAGGAAACGATGAATTCTCAAATGATCTTTCCTCTCTCTCTCGCTTTGTCACTTACTCACTCACTCTCTATCTATCTATCTATCTCTCTCTCTCTCTCTCTCTCTATACATATATATATATATATATATATATATATATATATACAGAGAGAGAGAGCTAGGTTCAAATGTGGATTGACATAAATTGTGCAGATGTGTAGACAATGTTATTCTATGAGAATGATAAATAAAATATTTTCTTTGGTAATGTGAAAACGTTCAACATTAAATAACTATTAAGATTATCAAGCATTGTCACTAGGTCTATAAGGTTATTATAATTTTTTTTTATAATTCTGATTCCATCAGAATGTTGTTAGAATGTTTGTTGAGTCGTATTTTGTAAGAATGATAATGAGTAAAAAAAACGATGTGTGAAAACAAAAATGAATAAGAATTTGTGAGAATTCATGAAAATGACGATACTTGTATAAGGTTGAATGTATTCACATTAACAAACAACCCATTTTGTTACTAATTCTCATAGAATAACATCATCCACACGTCGGTACAACAGTTGTTATCCATATTATAACGTAGCCCGATATATATATATATATATATATATATATATATATATATATATATATATATATATATATTGAAGAAGCAATGAATCAAGTATGAAATGAATTATAGTTTAATGATCAAAGTAAGATTACGAGATTTGAACACAGATGTAAATATGATCTTGTTTCAGCTCTGTTACGCTTTCAAGTTTTATAGAGTAAAAAATTACAATTCTGTAAAGACCCGTATCTACGACTGTAGTAAACACTCCTATTTATAGGAGAGGAAAGCGTACAAAAAATATACTAAGGATTAAGCGTTAACCTTTGAATACAATGCCTTAGTAAAATAGATTACAAAAGATACGAAGACTTAGTACATTCGAAGACATGAAACCCTTCGACGAATTACAACTCTATTTACTCTTACAATCTCCCGATTTGTAATCAATGTCGAAGTCTTCAATTTGTAAGCAGTTGAATTGAGTACATCATCACCCTTCGTATCTTTGTGTACCACGCAATGACCTTTTTAATCTCCTTCTTGTCTCCTTCACTGTTCTTCCTGCGTTGGTTCATACGAACAATTAAGTTCGTAAACTGAGAAGTTGCATATCTCTCCACTTCATAAGTTTGGAACAATAATCGCTTTACTCTACCAGCTTTGTCTTTCCCAGCGAAGACAACCCCCAATGGCTTTAAGCAGATTTCACCATCTTCATATTTCTTCAGATCTACTTGTTTTGCGTAGGAGCCATTGGTGCTGTAATTTCAATACCCTTCGCAGTAGCCAATTCCACATCAGTTTGAGCAAGACACTCAAAATAATTTTCAATAAAGATCACACAAGTTCATTATTGGAAAATCAGCAATGGTAAACTCATAAACTTTTCCAGTTCATCTGGCCACTTTGTATTTGAGATTCTGAATAACTTTTTCGAAGACCACGTCTCTTTTCATACGTATAACTTTCTTGATTTTCAACAATGACCAGACTTCTTCAGGTGCTTTCACCAACACTGAATGGAAACGTATCTTCAGCTTCTTCCCTTCTTGTTTGTCTTTACACATAATTTTAGCTTTAAACTGAGGAATGACGAACATCATTTCCTTTGTAGGAAAGTCAAGCTGACTTGCATCAGTGTTTGTAACCACATAACTCTATTTTGGCACCTTCTCAAATGAACACATGTGATCAAACATGAATTTTGCCTCAATTGTTTCATAGTTGTATTGCTTCGAAGGATCTCCCTTTTCCAAACCCACAGGGTCTTGTGCACGAAGAGTCATAACACTTTGCACAAGCCTCATCCTTTCCAACTCCGCATTAACTTCATCCTTCTTTTCTTCCTTAGTATTTTCTATGATCTTGGCTTTACCTTTATCTCTAGACTCAGACTCTGTGACAACTATTAATTCAGGTCATTCTCGGACTCATGCATCTTTATAAAAACCATTCATGCACAACATGCCATGGCCTTGTAGTACAAATTAGGTCAAAATCTTGCATAAACTAGGATCCATCTAAGACCTAGGACTAATATACTTGACACTTACGATTCTAGTAACTTGCTTAACTACAATAGGAAATGCCAATGCTATAATTTGAATGAAACTTTCAAGCTTTGTTATAACTGAAAAAGGGTATAAAACCCTAAAAATAAATTCAAATATTCTAATTATACTTCATTATGATGATGAACATCAAACAATATTCCAAAAACCCTAAAGAGCCCAAAATCCAAATTTATAAATCTTAAAGCTTAAAAACTTTATAAAATTTGGCTATAAACTTCCAAATATCAAATTTTATTAATCAAATTATGGATTATACCAATGAAATAGAAATATAAATTATCATGCATTAATCATAATTAATTAGTTAAAAACAAGATTTTTTAAATAAATCAAAAATTACTTAAAGAATCATTTTTATAAAAATTAGATTTTTATAAAAAATGAAGAGGGAAATTATTAATTTGAATTTTTGGAGAGAGAGGGCTCCTAATCCACTCAAAAACCAGCCATCTCCCCTCTCCCCATGCTCCATCTTCCCAGAACTCAATCATTAGAACTTCTCCCTCACTCTGCCTCTTCTCTCTTCACTCTCTCACACTCCACCCTCCTAACACACACAAACTCACGAAATTCTCCCCATTCCTCTGCCAAATTTCTAGATTTAGATGACCTTGAAGTGTTCTTACTTCCCTCAAGATCATAACCAAGGTAAACAACATCATCTTCTTCCATAGTTTCATGATTCTACTTCCTTTTCTTCTTAGTTTTCTCTTCTTTTCGGATTCTATGCCTTTCCATGGCTAGAAATCTTTATTTTTCCCTTGTGGTTTGTAGATTCTCACCATAACACAATGCATGTGTTTGAAATGGTGAAAATCCGGGATCAAACCCATGCAAGGAGTGAAAATGATGCACATATGTTCATGTGACTTCAAAAACAAGTATTACATCTTCTTCTCTATTTCTTTTGTGTTCTTGCATGATCAAAAGCATTTAAACCATTTCTAGTACATCTTGGATGCTCATTCACTCCATGCATGTGCTAGAAATCGGACCTTATCAAAGGCATGCATGATGTTCTTGTCAAAATGTCCTAAGGATGCACTCAAAGCAAACATGGAATCTTCCAGATTACTTTATTCAGATTTGAACGACCATATCTAGGTAATTTCTTAACCAAATCATGATATTCTTTTTGTATTGGATAATTCCATGAGTTAACTTTCAAACCCAACTGGTCTCACTGTAAAATATTAAATATCCGATTTTTGGCAATTTTTACAAAATGGTTGCGCAAACAGCTCTTTTTCTATGATCACCATTTTTGCCTTGCATGATCAATGGCCTTAAAGCAACCATAAATCTGGGGAAAAATACTTTTGAAGCTTAACATTTCCAGTGAATGATGGTTGAAATTTCATGGCTTAAAACCCCACTGAATGGGCTACATAAATTCATGAACTTTAGCCACATTTATATCTCATGCACCATTGCATGTAACATTTCTTAATTTGTTTGGGTTCAATACCCCTATTTCCCTTCTGATTAAATTTTGAACATTTTTCCTTTTGAAAGCCCTCACATGCATGTGATAGTCTGTGAAATACCAAAAGCTTTTATTATTTCTTTAATTTATTTAAATTATTGCTAGAAACCAAGGGCATAAATCACATAAAATACTTCCAGAGGTCAATAAATCCGGAAGAAATTCATGGATGACCCTTATGATGGATAATGACCTCTCACTAAATTTCATTAATTTTTGTTGCTATTTGGTATGATTTCGGATTTTCTTTTTGTTAGGATATAATAAATCACAAAACACTTTAGAGAGTGTGGAAATTTTATCTAACAATATTCGCATACCTCACATGCGATGGTGACTCAAAAAAATAATTTCAACATTTTTCATCATGTCTTGCTATTTTTCCCAATTTTTGGTAATTATAATGGTTTAAAAATAGGAAAAATAGTTATGATTATCCAAAATTCATGAAAATTTACCAAAACATTATGTTGTATAGTAGGAGGTTACAAAAAAAATTTTAGGATTTTTCTCCACAGTAAAGTATTTTTCTCTTAATTTCTAATGTTAATTATACTTAAATTCACATAAATACCCAAAACCGGATTGTTTAATATTATTTCTTCAATTAATGATTATTTAATATTCTTGGTAATTTATTTTAACTGAAATAGGGCTTCATTCATAGGTTTGGTTGAGACTCATTGTTTGCTCATACACATAAAAAAAACTCGTTCTCGTTATAGCAATAAACTTGTACTCATTAATAGCAATCAACTTTGTTTATCATTAAAGCAATGTACTTGTATTTACGAAAAGCCTTATTTCAAGCTCGATTTTATAAACTTGTGAACTCACCTACTATTTTCATAGTTGACGCTCGTTTTACATGCTTTTTGAGGAAATAATTAGTAAGTGGATGTAAAGATTCAGCATCATAGAGCATGTTGCATCGTGTTGAAGCTATTATGAAGTTATATTTTGAGCAATGTTATTTTGGAAAAACTTGTATTTTGTTTCTTTTGAAGCTATGGGTTGTAAACTTTTAAATACTGTTATGGTGATGTATCATTATCTTTTGCAATGAAACCGTTATCGTTGTCATACCTTGCGTTTCCTCTTTAGCGGGGTGTGACAGACTCTCCCACTCCAATCTTTGGTTTCAAAGCACTTCCAGTACCTTCACCAATCACAACACCTTTCAATTCTAGTCTGGTTATTGGAACCATTGTGACCACAGTTGAAGTAGCTAACCCAGCTGATACAATGATTGGCTTTGTAATTGGGATCTTCGAAGGGAACACTTTTCCCACCACCTTTGAATCTTCTTTGCTCACCTTTACTTCTTCACCAGTCTTCTTCAATTCATCAATCTTTTCTCCCCCTTGCACCCATGCGAAAGAAGGTGGGGCATCTAATACTGTGGGAAGAATACTTGAAATACGAGTAAGAGGAGATAATTGTTTGTGAAGAATAGCTTCGAACTGGATGAATTTGTCAGATAAAAACTTTGGAGTGATAATCCAAGTGGACACAGGTTTTACAGATAACTGCTTCAGCTCTTTTAAGAACACAATCAACTCTCCAAAATTCTTTTTTTCTAATTTAGAAAGATGAGTAAGTTGAGGACTCATGCTTTCATATAATTTGACATATTTGGTGACAGCCTCACAAATAATGTCAACCTTTTTATTGATTGAAGCATAATCTTGTTGAACACTTTGAACTTCTCTCTGCATGTCTTCACGAAGTTCACGAATTTTCATGTTCACATCTTCACGTACCTTCTTAACTTCTTGAACAAAAAGATAATCATTTCTTTGTTATTCTTTTCAGGTCCTTGACCTCACCCATAAAATCAGATCTCTGGGATTTAACACGAAGTTCATTAGACTGATCAGTGTAGTCAACCTTCTCCAAAATAATTAACTCAGAAGATTTCACCATGCTGGAGACTTTGTTGATTATCCTTGATTCCATCAACTTTAACATAGTATCAACTTCTAGACTTGATACTGATGAACCTTCCCCAAAATCAGCTTGAGATTGAATGATAACATTCAACTTCGTATTCAAAATTTTCTACTACTTCATAGTCATCAACATATGATCTGGAAAAATTTCTTATTCTTCATCAAACTTTAGATCTTCAAAGGTTCCTCCAAAACCTTCGTTATCAGTTGCATTTTCCAGCATCATTGTATCATCAACATATGAAGTAGGTTTGGGTGGATCAGTAGATTGTGAAGAAAATATGGAAGTGAAAGGGGTGTTCATTATGTTGTGGAATGTGAATGAATAAGTTGTAGAGGTTACTGGAGGTAAAGATAGAATAATATCAGAAGTGACATTAAGAGTACCTTGAGCAGCAGTCTTCACACCTTCTTCACCCATATTAACATTTGTATCCATATTAGATACGTCTATAGTGATGTCAGAAATTCGTGTCGCCTCATTAGATGATTTGAAATGAGAAACTTCGGGTGGAATAACACTTATGTCTTCAGGAATCGAACCTTGTTCGACAAGATCATCTTCCGGAGTTTTAGGAATTCTTTCCTCGTCCTCTGTTGAAGTAGTGACAATGACAAGTTTTCGAGACTTCTTCTTCTTCTTTTGCGTCAACTATTTTGCCACATCTTCAACCCTTCGTTTCTTTGATGATGGATAAACAGGCACTGGAATTTCCCTGAATAATACACCTTGATGTGTATGTTGTGGTTTACGAACAACTTCGGGTGAAGATTTCCGACACTTCATTTTAAATCTACAAAAAACCCCCAATATTCAAAGTGATTGTTTCTTTTTCTTGGGTTTCTTAAACAGTAGGGGAATGAACTAGTTCTGTAACAGCAATAGAGACATCATGTTTTATAATTTCTTTGGGTTTCATCTTAGGTGATTTCTTGGGCTTCGTTTCTTTCACCGTTTTTTCAGAAGAACCAGCATCATTCTTCTTCCCCCTTTTCGATTTCTTCGTCTCCTTTTCTAATAGAACATCAGTTTGCACTGTTGTATCTATTGTTTGTAAATAAGACAACAAAACGGAGTTCATAGGATCAACCCATTTTAGCATTACATCAGGAATACGTACAACACTTGGGAACTCATCAGCATTATCAATCACCTCCTTTGGAATGCTATAGACATGAAAAGTGGCTTTTTTATTATCATTGTCTAATAAAATACCTTCTTTGTGGTAGAAGTACTGCAAAATCTAACTCCAGTATCTTGCACATGAAATACCACGAACAACATCCGTGTTGTTAACACTGTTCTCGAACTCCTTCCATAATTGTGAAGCATAATTCACCGGTAAATCATAGTATAGACCTGCAACCATGGCGTATACCTCCATTCTTCCTTTTTCTAAGCCCACTATTCTTCCAATTAAGCAACATAAAAAGATTCCAAAAAGAAAATTCCAAATTGTAGGAAGACCTGATTTCTTGAAATCACTGATTTTGGACAATGGTGGTTGATGTCCCATGTCGTTGAACATATGGACAATTTGAGGATAAGTGAAATCCACATATGGTGGAGAATTTGGAATATCAAGAATCTAACAGAAGAGTTTCTGTGTATGTCTGACCTTCTTGTCATTAATTAGGTTAAACGTGACTGCATCAAAGGTTTTAGCGACTAAAGTTGTTGATCCTGCCTGAGATAACCAAGAAATCGGTACAGAGAAAGAATGAAACATGGCCTTGGATAAAATGGAGCTCTTCAAGGCAATTACGAGCATCTTCAACTCTTCAGGGTACTTAGATACATTAGCTTCAACTTTATAATTGGTACCATGGATCTTCATAATCGGCATGGAAGTAATATCTTCTGTAGTTTGTTAAGGGTCAGCATTAACATTAGCAGTAGTCTCCATTGTTAGGGTTTTGAAAGCTTGAAAATTCAGAGAGAATTGAGAATTATCTTTGAATGCGTAAAGTGATAAAAGACCCTTGAATCCCCTTTTATATGTAACCTTCCTGTTTGAATTAAAAGCGGGATGTACATTTAATGACTACTGATGGGGCACCTTGAAAACCGGACCATACTGCGTAAAAATAGCCATGCGTCAAAAATTAACTGTCCCATCTCCGTAAAACCCGAACACGATATCATACGTCATTAAAATACAGCCTATTTTTGTTTGCCCGAAGAGAATTGTAACTATCTGACCCCTTCGGATGGAAGTTAGACTCTTTCACTTTTGGGATGAAAAGTGAAGCCGTGTGCCAGATGTTCGAAATCATCAGCCTAAGTTGGTGTTACTCAGAACCTCAAGGATTTCGTGAGTGCAGTGTTCCAAAGAAAGTAAGACAAGAAACAATGAAATAAAATTTTTGGGATTCTGTGATATCAAAAATTTAATTTGACACAAATGCAGTTAAACCCCGAGCAAAGGTTGCTTCGTTAATCATCAAGAGAGATGATCAACAGCTTGTGTATGTTCCCGTGAATTACAATCAAAAACTTGTAGAGAAGTTTCGAAGGGTATCTTTTGTAAGGCTATATAGGTGGCTTAATAAATTTCGTTACATATCAGCCTTAACATAAGGTGAGTCACTGTAACAAAAATTACTTGTTTGACCAGTGTAGTCAGTGACAAGTGTGCTTTAAAAAATGTATAATGTGACTTTGGGATTCGAAGTAACTCACACGGAAATCATATTCATCAAAAAAAAATTGTGATGGATCTTGTTGGGTAACAAACACCGTGGGTTTCGAATGTTTGATCAAGATCACTCAAATGAAATGAATATGATTTGGAGTTTTAAAAATAGGTACGGAAATAAAAGTGATGAGATATAAAAACTCTTTGATCGATTAGATCTTTGCAACAGGTAGATCGTGAAAGTAAAACAATGAAACAATACTCAAGAATGGATCTGAATGAATCGAATGATTAGAACGTTCAATCCTCAGCAGAGCTCGATAAAGAACTTCCGCTGTAGAGGATTTTAGGGTTACAAAAGATATCTCCTTAATTACACGTAAAACAAACGATCTATCAGTTTTCAAAAAGATGCATGCAAGCATCTATTAATACACAAACCCTAATAAAACAAGTTACGGATGGACAGGCCCATACCGTATACAAAATGGGCTAAGAGGCGAGCCCAAGACGCAACATCAAATACCCAACAATCTCCCCCTTTGCGTCAATTGGGGCGAGACCTCACTCCAGCTTGCTTACTCCGGCGGCACTGGCTTTCTTTACAGTCTTAAACAGGCAGGGAATGATAGCAAGAAGTGTTTGTCGGAACTGAATGTACCAATTGATCATATCGTTGATGTACTTTTTATCACTTTCCGAGTTCTGTTTGCACCGATTGATGATACCCAGAACATGCTCCAAGCTGGAAGTGGTGAAAATATGTTTGTCAGCCAAAGCAAATAAGCATTTCTGACCTTCTACCCTGGTGAACATGACTGAGTTTTGTTTCGGATCAATCTTTCCCATCTTCATTCGGTTTATATCGCTTGCAGAACCGACTAGAGTGATGATGGGCTTCTTCCTGAGAACATTAGCAACCTCTTGATCCAGCTTAGCCACCTCCAAAATATAACAAACTAACATTCTCTTGAAATGGTCTATGATCGGACCATATTCTGCTTCATTGACAAGAAGAATGTTGTGCAAGACAATCCAATCATGAGGGTTTAAGTTGGGAAGATCAGCCAGAGAGATGGAATGCTCGGATTTGTCAGATCCCCGTAAGATCTTGAATCTGACTTTGATGAAGTTTCCCTCACTATCAGGTTTGAGAACCCGAACGTCGATTATCTTTTGTGCGCTCCATGTCTGATACTGAGGTTGAGCGGTCCTCAGATAATAGTCTATAAGCTCCCTATCAACCTTTGGGTGAGGATGAGGAACTTCAGCTATGTGAGCGAATGCATGGAAGATAAAAGCTTTTCGGGTCAGGGGCATGTCAAACTGGGAATCGACCGAATTGACCCGGTCTAAGGAGATCACCGTTTCTAACCAAAGAGTGAAGGGGGACTTAATGGCTTCTTTGATAAGCACTTCGAGAGTCCAAGGAGGAAATAAAGTTTTTCTGCTTTCAAGGAGATCATGAGCCTCCTTTATCTTCCTCTCCTTGGCTTCGGCTTCTCTGACAATGAGAGCGTTTTCATCCAGCTCCTTCTCTCTGGTCTGTTTCCTCACTAAGCTGACAATCGGTTCTTGATCATCACTTTCATCACTATCATCAATAATTTGTTTGTCTTTGCTTTGAGCACTCAAACCTGATGCAGGAAAAGTTGTTGGTTTGGGTGCTTTCGGAGGGACAAGTGATGAAAATGGAAGTGATTGAGCTTTGGAACTCGGAGAGGGTTTTGATTGAGCTGTGGGCTTCTTTTCTCCCCCTTGTTTCGGATGGTCCTCCTGCTCAGGAATGCCTTCAATGAGGCTAAGCAGGGCAAGAGCAGGAGCGAGCTTCTCTGCAAGAGTACGCCTCACCAAATAGTTAAGAATCGGATCATGGGCTTCAATAATGTTAGACAGAGCTCCATGGACATCTGAAACACAACTCTTGACCACAACTTTCTCAGACTGAAGAGAATCGATCTCCTTCTCGGCTTGGGAGAGCTGATGAGTTACTAGAGTAAGCTCGGAAGATTTTCGAGCAAGCTCGTCCTTTGTTGTGGATTCGGCGGCAAGAGTGGCTTGAAAGGAAACAAGACGATCCGCAACCGAAGATTGAAAATATTGATTGTCTTCTTTGAGTTTCTGGCGGAAGCTGGCAAATTGGTCTTTTTCGGTTTCGAAAGAATGGACCAGCTTCTCCAAAACGGTGCGAATCTTCTTGGTGTTTGTTTCTGATGCCGCCTACAAAGACTCCAGCCAGATCTGGGCATCTTGAAATAGTTTTCGACTTTTTCGGTCACAACAGCACTAGCCCTTGTCGATTTATCAATAGCAGCAGCAGCTGAGCTGATGGAGGCTTCGTGTGCTTTGGAGAGAGATTCCACCATTC